ACGTGAAGGAACGTGAGATAACGTACACCCGTAAGCCCACTAACAACGCAAACGTGAAGAATTGGAAAATGCGCATGCGTAGCTGTCAATTTCTACGTTTACGTTAACGTTCATGACAACACTTCAACTCTCTATTATTCGTACGTAAACTTACTAATAGATGCAGCCCATTTTAGTTTATACCAAGACTACATTACCACAGTAGTCAATTATTGAGATCATCAGTTAGTCATAATGAAATTGAACCCTAATTAACATCGTGTGTAATGTAGTCAATTGGTATATAAATATAGGTGAACGGAAAAACTATAATAAGAACCCATTTATTCAATATTCTCCTTTTCTCTGGCTAACCTGAGACCTGTTATTGACGAAACCAAGCTGCTAACATATTTTTCAAATTTCATAGCCGTAACAGAGAGGAAACCTGTTTCTGACAGCACCTGGAAAAAATGTTAAGCTTCAATTGATGGAGGAAATATATAACTTGGGATACCTATAATTCATTTTCTCATTTCCTAACTATAGAAAAAAGACCAACGACGTCAATATAATATTGGAAATTGAAATGAAATTTAGGAACATAATATATGTAACTGGAAAAATTTGATTTTTCAAAAGGTAAACCTATACTTACCTTTTTTCATATTCATAGGTGTCATTATGAATATAAAGAGTGAGATTGGGAAGATATTAGGAATTTATAGTATAATAAATATAGTTCGTTGGCATATGTATGCATGTGTAAATAACAATTGCCCATCGAACTTACGAGAGGTCCTTCAGCCTATGTGTGTTCTATGTGGGCTTTGTTACTAACTCCATATGCCACCTTAGGAGCAGATGAACCTTTTAATCGGAACAGCGAATCATGTGGAATGATCTCCGGCCTAGGCAACGAAAATTAAAGTTTCTCTCGTTTTATAAATGAAAACTCTGCTCTGCCAGGGATTCGAACCTATATAGCGACCTTTCCATGTTTTGTGTACTAGTCGAGCGCCTCAACCACCGCTATTTCACCGTCCTCTTTCTTATAATCATCTATACGTATTGAATTTCCACCTTTATTTTCAGTTTTTACTGCTTTACATTTCATGCATGATGGTAGCTATACATGAACTTATCAAAAACCTGATGTGCATGGGTTATTCAGACAGACTCAACAGTTCATCTCAACCCAATGTGCCGATCACTTCATGAGGATGATGATATTACTGTCAATATAATCATGTTGTGAAGTTCCCTCAGACAGCACTGATGAAATTTTCAACACGAAAAAAAAAATTAATTTTTTGGAAGACGATCAAGTACTGAACATTATTTGACAAGAATACATTACCATTACCTAGCTTCTTTTCAACTTCTCGAGATTCGCGCATTTTTAGCCACAGAACATCAACGTATACTGTGACCAACATTCACCAGATGCATTTATTACCATGTCTCCAGATTTTTCTCGAACCATACATCGATGCTGAATAAGCTTATAGAATTTATCGTTCAAAATGTCGTTGGTCAAAGTATCGTTGAGGTAACGATATCGTATTTTAACGGTAAGTTACTGAATAGACCCCTTGTATCGTTCAGTATCGATACCAACTTAAAATGTATCGATACTTCGATTCTCGTCGGTATCGATACCCGGCCTAGCTGGTATCGATATATCGATACTTACCGACCTCTAATTGGGCCACCTCTTTCCAAGATGTAGGGATGCCGATGTCAAAGAATAATATAGGTTAGTCCTCTTTGCCGATGTTTTCAAAAATTACAATCGAAACCTTGAAAAATCGATTGAAAAAAGATCCAGGCGAAAATCAATCGATTCACCTCACAAACCGCGCCAAATTTCGAAAACATACTGTTTTTCTTCAGATATTAGATATCATAAGTAGAGATAACTTGAATATTATCATGAATGCAACGAAAAAGTATAGAATTTTATGAAAAATGATAAAAATAACAATCCCAATAAGAAACATCCATCACAACCATTTGAGAAGTTCGAGATCGATCTTTGTATTATTTTTTCTTACTTTTGAATAGCGCAAAAACACATAGTAGAAGCTGACATCCACTATAGTGAGAAGCACCCAGTATAACATCAATAAATAGAATCCATATCAATCAATGGCATTCCTATCAGGTACCATTATCATTGTATTTATATTACTATCAGTTACTTGTTGAAATTCAAAATTGGTTATTTCATGAGGATCATGAAAATGATGATTGAATAAAATGACATCAATGAAAGAAACAGAACTTATAATATATACCTATAATCTTGCTTATAATCAGATCACTGACAGATGTATCACCCACTTATTAGAACTAGTTTAGAGTATCTACATGCTTGTCTGAACATATTTGAATGTGGAGACAATTATAGGTAAATACCTGGAATAGAAAACAATATATTTACATTATGCTCTACTAATAATTGAGAAGATATTTCAATGTGGCTTTGGGGTATGTCCATCTACATAAAAATTTCTAGTTGCTTTGGGAAGCTGAATTTCCATTCCTTCTAGATCTTTAGTGAGCTTTATCTGACAACCTAATCTTGAGTTTTCTTTCAAAAATGGGGCCATGTCTAAAAGATCTTCTTCAGTCTCAGTGGCTTCAGGTAAGGCATCCAAATGTTTTCCATTAACATAAACATGACAGGTGGTGCATGCTAGAGAAGCTTCACAAGCTCCTTCCATTGGGATTTGATAACGATGTGCTAAGTAAAGTAGATTATCACCTACTTTTCCTGTTAAAGAGATGCGTTCTCCATCTTTATTGATAACAGTGACACTGACGCTATAAATTAAGTCTTTTTATTAGGCATCCATAAAATAAGTCCACAATGCATGTAATATGAAGGTAACAACTTACATTTCTTCTTTTGATTTAGGGTCTTGCCATTCGTATTCCCCATGATAACTAACTGGAAATTAAGAAAAACAATTATTATACTATTCATGAAATGAATAATGAAAATAGAGACCAGGTGAAATATGAACAAATCTGCTTTTCATAATAGGGCACGTCATTCTGCTCAAGATTTTTGATATTTTCGATAAGTCCGTGAAAAAACTTATTGTGCTCGCCATTATTGTCTCAAATCTCAGGTAATTCGTAGAAATAACATTTTATGAAATTACAGCAAAACTTCTGAATACAAATTATTTAGGTTAATATCTGTGATTTGATTAAAAAAACTGATTATTTTTTGATACTGTCTACACGACCGCCGCGGCGGTTGGATTCTGATTCATAAACGACCGCCGCGGCGGTTGGATACTGATACATAAACAACCGCCGCGATGATATTTCTTCGTTCTTCATAGAGAGTACTTCCGAGCAAAGCGATAGCTCAGTTGAAAATTCACCTGACCACCACGCCTGTGGCTCGGGTTCAATCCCTACTAGGCCTTATTTTTTCAAAACTTTTTTTCACAAATAATTTCTCGAAAAATATACTTCTCAGGAGAAAGGTTCATTTAGGTGAGTTAGGTCAGTTTGTTTGAAAAAAGTAGTCTTCTTTTTGATGCAGAAACGATATTTTCCTTCCTCATGTCTCACGGCGGTCTTCTATATAAAAATAGGTGACCGCCGGCGGTTGTTTATGTTTCAGTATCCAACCGCCGCGGCGGTCGTGTAGACAGTGCCTCATTTTTTCCTTTTCATTTTCCATTCACATATTCACATCAGCTTGCCTTGCCTTTTCGCCAGTTAGCCAGACACAAGGATTATCTCTGTATACTCTCCTTGAGCCAGACACGCCTTTAGACTACTTTCCAGCACTCCTCCGCCGCTGTTTTGTCACTTGTCAGAAATGTTCCTGGGTTATCGTACTAGAATTGAACCCATTTTCGTACTAGATTCGAGTATGAAGTACTAGACTATTTGGAGCCTCAGGCATGACAGTCGGACGTTTTGCTCGTTTTGTACCATTTCAAATTCATCTATTTCTAGTTCTACTTCTGAAAATTGTACTCGTATGAGACAATTCGCATTTCGCAGAAACCCGTTTACATTATACTCGCTGTCATGATGAACGGTAGTTTGAGATCATTGAGATATAGTCACTATGGATGTTATTAGTAGATAAGATTTCGGATGAATGAATAATACACATATTCTACTGTTTGTCTTTTTAATTTCACCAATTAGGTATTTCAGAACCCGTGATCTAAAAATGGGTTGCGTGTAAGAACTTTCAGATGACCGACCCTGGAGGTGAAACAGTGAAGCACATCCTCCCTTCTCTTATTTGTTAACAAGTGATTGAAATAGTTTTTCACAATTATTTCGGCATACGAATCGTGTTTTACGGCTATTCATTGACTCGCATATAATCTCCAGAAGATCAAAAATAACTCCAATACCTACCTCCTGTCCCTATCCTCCCTAGGAACGCACTATGTTCTTTGAACATTATAGGGATTCCCTTTCGTGCGCTCCAAGCGATAAAAAAAATCGCACATGTCATCATATTGTGCTGTTCATTGTTGTACAATGCACATAATCCACCTTTATATATTAATTTCAACGAACGTATCTCGCAAGTCATGCTGCCGTGCTGCGGAAGATCTTGAGGTTATCAGAAGGTTAAATAATAAGGTATTATGAGGAAGGAAAATATAGTTTCTGCATGATTTAGTACTAAGACCTAGAGTCTAAGACCCATATAAACCTTTTTCTGAAAAGTATATTTTTCAAAAAATTACTTTTGTGGAAACAGAAGGTCAAAATTATAAGGGATGAAAATATCGTTTCCGCGTGTAGAAGGCGACTTCTTTCAACCCAACTCGCCAAGGATGATCTTTCTTCTGAAAAGCATATTTTTTAAAAATTTACTCCTGAAAAAAAAATTATGAAAAACTCACGCCTCGCAGTGATTTAAACGCGAGCCACTGCCGTGGAAGCAGATAGACAGATCACTGAGATATCTCAACAAGCAGCACAGCAGCATAATACTAATTGAACTACTTGCGAGATACATTTATGACAGTTCTGACAGTTCTCATTCTGACAGTAGTTACAGGCACATTGAGTTCATTGATTATAGGTTACAGTGGCAGGGCAGTCTGGCAGCTGGCAGTAGTGGCAGTTGACAGTTTCGATTTTTCATAATATTTGGTATTTTGGAGGAATGGAATTTTGATTAATTTATTGAAAAATGTCTCTCTACAGTACTTTGAGAAATGCTCTTCAACTTCCAAAATCAGCAATTCGATATGAAGGTATTTATTGAAGCCATGAAATGTATTCTATACATGATACATGAATATGTATTACATAATATATAATGATGTAAGGTTTGGTGTGTTTATGAAAATTTGATGAAGCCTAGCAATGCCACTTAGGAATTTCAATAAATGAGACTCATCTCATAATTTTAGGGTCATTTTAGGCTAATTCATTACCTCATTCCACCATTTTTTCTGTGGCTGCTAGCTTCCACAGAACTCAGCAAAGCCATTTTTGAAAAACAATATAGTGAAATTGTAGGTCTTATTTTAGGCTAATTCATTACCCTATTCATTATGGCTTTGCTAGCTTCAGATGAACTCAGCTGAGCCATTTTTCAAAACACAGATTTTTCACTGATGTACATTGGAATTTGAAGGCTGAATTTAGTCTAATTAATTGCCCTATTTTCAAAACGATTGCTCTACGTTTTTATTGAAAAAAAACGAAATAATTTTATGAAGCTAAGCACTAGTATTGATTGTAGGCCTCCTTGTAGGCTCAATATCCCAGTCAATAACCATCCATTTTTGGATACATATTTTTCAAAAGAAACATCTGGCTTCGCTAGCTTCCTGCGAACTAAGGCAGAGTCATTTTTGATTATTATCTACTCTACATTCAAATTTTTTGCCCAATGTTCAAAACCATGAAATACTGGAACAGTATGTTAAAATATGCATTATTCACTAGTCATATTGAATTTCTATCAAAAGCATATTTATTGATGATTCTATGAGGCAATCCATTTTGGATTTATCTGATCCATATTTTTCAATAGAAACCTGTGGATTTGCTAGCTTCTGGCGAACTCAGCAGAGCTATTTTAGAAGAGAATATATTTTTTTTACTGATTGATATATTGGGATTCAAATGCTAATCTTAGGCTGATTAATTACTTTACTTTTGAATTTTTTGCTCAACTTTATATATGATATGTAGATATCAATGTTATTCAATAGTCATAATGCATTTTTATCAAGATCATATTTTATGATGATTTGATGAGGCAATCCATTTTGAATATTTTGCTGCATATTTTTGAAAAGAAACCTGTGGATTTGCTAGCTTTCATCCAACTCAGCAGAGCCATTTCTGAAAATAATATATTCTTCACATATTTGATATTTGAGATTCAAAGGGTAATTTAAGGCTAATTCATTACCCTATTTTCATGTTTTTCGATCTATGATTTAAGGATAAAACGAATTGATTGCTTTGTATAGAAATGCATAATACCTAGTATACAGTGAGGACGTAAAAAGTCCTCCCCCCCTTTTACCTTTGAACGGAAAAGCTAGCGAGGTCGGGTAAAATTCAGGCAAAAAGGTACCTCTTTTACTACTATTTGGCATGAAAATGGTTGTGGTCACGTGACCTAGTATCAAGTGGGCACCCTCAACTTTTTTTTTTCAAATTCAAAGAGGGGTCACGTGGTACCTTGTTTTGAAGGCCTTTAAATTCTCTATCCAACACCGCTTCGTTTGTACAAATCGACCAAGCCGTTTCAAAATGGCAAGCGTTTGAAATTTGCCTCAAATATTAATATTAATGCATAAAAAATCTGAATAAATTTTAATTGCAACATGATTTCAAGTAGGAATCGTAAAAAGTGCTCAAACATGCTCGAAATGTTCATCGTTCACTTATTGACACTGAAAAATCGGTTTTGGAATTCAATCCGAACGTGATTTACTGTTTCCCAGGTACATTTCAAACGCTTGTCATTTTGAAACGGCTTGACTGATTTCCACACACAATGCAGAGTTGGATAGAGAATCGAAAGGCCTTCAAAACAAGGTACCACGTGACCCCTCTTCACATTAAAAAAAAAAGTTGATAGTGCCCACTTGACACTATGTCACGTGACCACAACCATTTTCATGCCAAATAGTAGTGAAAGAAGTACCTTTTTGCCTGGATTTTACCCGACCTCGCTAGCTTGTTCCGTTCAAAGGTTAAAGGGGGAGGAGGACTTTTTACGTCCTTACTGTATATTGCGATTTTCAACAAATCAATTCTTTTTTTTCAATCACAGAGCCCAAAATTTAAAGAAAGGGTGATAAATTAGCCTAAAATCAGCTCTGAAATCCCCAATATATTGAAACAGTGAAAAATATATTTTTTTCAATAGCAAGCAAAGCCATATTTCTTTTAAAAAATATGCAGTGAAAAATTCAAAGATGTGGACAGTGATGGAGCTCACAATCAGTACCTACTCCATAAAATCATCCAAAGATATGCTTTTCATAAAAAATACATAATACCTAGTAAATATCACAAATCAATTCGTTTTTTTTAAATCATTGAGCAACAAATTTGAAAATAGGGTAATCAATTAGCATAAAATTAGCCATCAACTCCCAATATATTGAATCCCCAAAAAATATATTATTTTCAATCATGGTTCTGCTATGTTCGCCCAAAGCTAGCAGAGCCACAGGTTTCTTTTGAAAAACGTGCAGCAAAAAAATCCAGAATGGGATAATAGTAGTAGTAGTAGTAGTAGTAGTAGTAGTAGTTTATTCTGTGTGATAAAAGAAAATTTATATACATTCATCAAACAAGATACAGTAAAATATAGAATACATGTATCAATAAAAAATAAAAGTGAAATAGCTACCTACATAGTAGCCTAAATATAAAACTAACTTATTTACTAAATATAAGTATAACATTATTATCTATTCTAAAATACGGTTTATTAGCTAAAGAAAAATAATTTAGTTGACTTTTTGAAGTAGTTTATTATCCTTTTGACATTTAACATGTATAGGAAATAGTCAATCAATTTATGTTAGTACAAATACAAGGAATTGTAAATAATTCATAGAATTAAATGAAAAGATAAAATTGAAACATACAATGAAAATAAGACATACAATAAAATGTTATTAAAAAAATACAATACAAGTGTGTTTATCACACGTTATCAGTCAATAAAAATTCGTTTATATTATAAAACGACTTATCATAGAAATGGTTTGAGGTTGGGTTAGCAAACATATATTTCATTGAACTCAATTTTGAAATCAATTGTTCACATTGAGGTTTCCAATTTAGGTATTCATCTAGATGAATTCCCAATATTTTTACAGGTTCCTGAAAATTTGTAAGAAAAGTGTCTTCTATGAGAATTTCCAAATTCTCAACATTTTTTTGATGATTATGAATTCTTATAACCTGTGTTATATCAACATTGAAAACAAGGTCACGCCCCTTGAAGAATCTTGCTACTTTATTTATGATACCATTACATTTTTCTTCTGAAATTTTCCTATCTGAATCGGAAACGATTAATGAGAAATCATCTGCATATGCAGTATAATGCTCTGTATAAAATACTCTATCTGAATTTTATCAATAATTTTCTTCTTTACTTGATTGACTTTTATTCTGACAAGTTTTTATATTTACAAAAAGTGCTTAGCAACTATTTTCTGTAGACCGAGAAACATCATGTATAAAGGATGTTTAAAAATTGACAAAATACAAAGTTTTTATATTCACAAAAAGTGCTTATCAACTATTTTCTGTAGACCGAGAAACATAATGTATTTAATTGGATGTTTACAAATTAAAAAAATACAATAATAACTTGATAACATCTTCCCCACCGTGAAAATATAAACATCATGGAATATTTTCACTTTCAATATTGAGTATACATAGCTTGGATACAGGGCGACAATATACTCCACAATATGACCACTCGAACAATATCATCTCTTCCAGGAAATATGGATTCAACTCGACCAAGGGGCCAAGTTTTTCTCGGTAGATTTGCATCTACTACAACAACAATATCTCCTACTTGCAGTGGTTTAGTCTTGTTGAGCCATTTGGATCTTGTAGACAGTGTCGGTAGATACTCCTTCACCTATTGATTCCAAAATATTTCTGCAAGTCTGTGATTTCTTCCAAAATCTTCGTAGGTCTCGTTCTTCGAAAACGGAGTTTCTGTACAGGAACCTATCAATAGGTGGTTTGGCGTTAGGCATGAGAGGTCATCAGGATCAATAGAAACATGAGTTAAAGGGCTGCTATTAAAAATATTTTCGGCTTCTGAAAATAGAGTCAACAGAACTTCGTCTCTTGGAGCCTCTTCTACTAGAATCACCTGAAAAATTTTCTTGACAGAACCAATCGAACGTTGCTAGCAACCGCCCATATTTGGACTACCAGGTGCTAGAAAGTGCCATTCTATATTCTTCTTTGTCATTTCCTTTCAAATTCCCTCTTCGTCCACTTCTCTGGAGAACTTCTTCAACTCCTCATTCGTTCCTTCAAAATTTGTTCCATTATCCGAATAAAGGTGACGAACACGTCCTCTCCTTGATACCATTCTTCATATTGCCATTATCGTTCCATCAGATGTGAGAGAATGAGCTATTTCCAAATGTATCGCATGAACAGTCATACAGGTGAACAGTACTCCCCAACGCTTTTCTCTATGTCTTCCTACGGTTACATAGAGTGGTCCAAAGTAATCTATTCCAGTGAATGTGAATGGTTTCACTCCAGGTGTTAAGCTCATTTCAGGCAACTCTCCCATTCTTGGAACCTCAGGCTTAGATTTCTTCACATTGCAGTACTGACAAGTCCTAAAAACATTTCTGATTGCGCTTCTTCCTTTTCTCACCCAGCATTTCTGCCTCAATTCATTCAGGACAAGTTCCATTCCTTGATGATGGAACTTTTCATGGTAGTGTTGTAAAAGCAGTTTCACTATGTTATTTTTGGGATCAAGAATCATTGGATTCTTGTAGAAGCACCCAAGCAGTTCGCCAAGTTTATCCTGCTACTCAATCTGATAATATTATTCTCATCTGAAACAGGCAAAAGTTTGTAAATTCTGATACTTTTCTCAACTGTCTTCCTCATCTTTCTTCTTGTCTTTATCATGAGTGTTCTACAAAAGTTAGATACCCATGCTGTGCTCCTTATGAATTTTCGCCATTTCGAAAATCTGTTCACATCAGGTATGTCTTCA